TTCGATTTCTTTTCCTTGTGATTATTATGAACATTTTGATGATATGAATGAAACAGCTAGAAAAATGAATTCAATGTTGATTGTAGCAATAATCGAGTAACCATTTTTATCCTTGTCAAGTGTTCTATATATCATTAACTAGTGATGCGCCTAGAGAAAAACTGTTCACATTATACTGAACCTTCTGCGATATACATTGTGTTCTATAGTTGTTCGAGTAATTATAACATTGAGAAAATTTCTGTCCTATACATACGTCCATCACTAGAAATATGTTTATAATAATAATAAATAATGAAAAGTATACCAAGTATTTTTTTAATACTAAAATGAACAGTAATATTCAAGGCATGAGTAAAAAATACTTTCGTCGTTGTAGTGCATGTCATACGTCTTTGCACTAACACACAAGTTTTTGTCCGGCTTGTTCTGAAAATGTTACTAAGACAAACAAGAAAGATCAACAACGAAAGAGGCAACGAAACAAAAATATTAAATTGACGCAGTTTTATTATTGTTGCCATTGATGATTTTTTTTCTTCTTCCGTTCATGTTTGCATAGTGAGTGTCACTATGAAGATAGAATATGTAGACAAAGAGCTACAGAAAAAAAAAGGAATATGGCATTTTCTTCATTTTTTTCTTTCGTTCGATGTGTTGGCAACTCATTAAGAGTTTTTTGCTTCTGTATTGACGAGTTTGAATCAAGAAAAATGCATTAAAATCAATTCAGCACTATTGATCATATTACATTGATTTCTTTTTTCCATAGCCATCAATTCACAAGCATCTTTTGTCGCGGCAATCTATAGACTATGTATGATTATCAATATATTGAAGAGATCGTTAAAATTGAACGAATGTTTAAGAATCGATTTTCTAGGACTTTCAATTGTTTTTCCGGTGTGATACGAATGTCTATTAAATTTTGCATAATCTTAATAGAGGTTTTCTTGAAATTTTTCTTAGCTTGCGAAAATGTTTACACTAAACAATGATGATGGAGAATTTTCTTGTAATCGACGACTAAATTAACGATAATGTAGCTGACTTGCTTGCATCTTTTAATCGACGTATGCTGATACTCTCAAACGTTAGCAGCGTAGAATCTGGAAAAGAGTTTATCGATGATCAATATTGACTTATTGGTTAAGATGGAATGCAGAAAAAAAATCGTCAACTGCACAAAAATCAGTAAAAATAAAGTCATAGAAGACATCTTATTCGATGATTTTGTTGAAAATTCAAAGGCAATGAGGTTGCCAACATAGGATATTATGATAGAAATTTTCATCATAACCAAGAATAGTAATGCATCGAAAGTATCGATAAAGAAAATTTTTCATCCTTGCTAAGCAAAGAGCTGGAAATAATAGAATATGTGATGAAAAAATATTTAGAAATAGGAAGAACATTCTTTACTAACATACGTAAGTGAAACTGTCACATAATATCATTTGAAAATGAGACATCAATGGTGTCAATGCTAGATAATTAGATAATCGAAAAGGTTGCGTATGCAGTATAATCAATCCGCAAGATAGATAAATATTGAACATTTTTAAGGATCATACTTTCTCTACCATAAATACCGTTTTGTGTGATAAAGTCATGGATAAAAACATTTGGCATAGCGTGAACAACATAATGTTTCCACTATTACTGATTTGTACCCTAGGTCTTTTACAGATGAACGTATAAAAGCAAAAACCAACATTGTCACACGTTCACGACACTGACGATAAACAAAAGTACTTATCAAACAGACTGTTTAATTATAACGTACCTATAAGATGCATGTTCCATTTGATTCGTATGCTCAAAATTGAAAAGAAAGAATTTCTCATGAGGGGCACGACGGAAGATTGAGATGCGCAAAATGTTGCTTGTTCTGTAGAGATCTACTTTATGATAGGGCATCTTCTGTTGGAGATGCCAGGATGGACTTGATGTAGTTGTAATAATAGAATAGTTGCCTAATAGATATCCTCGCAAATTGTGCAGCTCTTTTGAATAAAAAAAGACATATTACATGAATATTAAAGCGATCAACAAAGATTAATATTTAATACAAAATAAATCAAACATATGGAAATCTTGATTGACGACAAAGTACTGTAAAGGTAGTCTTTACCTTTCAAATACAAACAATAACACATTGTACACAATAGTTTGCACTACAATTATATCAGTTGAAATATTGGTTTATGTTGAATGATATGTTTGAAATTTACATACGAGGGTACAAAAGTTGCAAAGACAAACATCATACCCTATAGTTGCTGTCTTATGTTTTTTCTTTTAGATTTTTTTTACGACGTTAAATGTGGTTGGTTTTTACCAACAACGTCATTTACTCTATTATTATTCTTTTCAATTCTGCTGCTTGTGACGGACATGTTGATAATGTGAATGAAGCAACAATCAAAAAACATTATTACTTGCCAAATATATTATTGTCAGTCCTGAATTTCTACACTTAAAAAACTCTATTACCGAGAAGAGTGCCAATTGCATCTGTACGGCGATTAGCAAAGATATTGATAATAAATATGATTGAAAAGTATTATGGAATCGATTTCGAACAAGATACGATTCTATTCTGTGTTTCTACATTGATTAGTACAACTATGTGCCGCAATTTGAAAAAAACACAAAGTTCTGATTTAAAAACGATGTTGTAAAATTTCTGCAAACCTGTTTTGAATTGTTCGAAAAATGAATCAATATTTTTGTCTCAACAATTCTCAGCTTAATCGTTAGTATATTCAAAAGAAAAATATATATAAAATAGGTTTTAACAAAACATAAGGGCGCTTTGTTCATGCATTTATCGTTAAACATTCCGCCTTTTTGTAAGTTTTTCTCTTGTGAAAAAATTCATTATATTTCGATTATAGAGTTTTTGTGTCTCGGTAATCATATGTCTATATAAATAAATAGTGATTAGAACCGAATTGAAAGATTACATATTGAATTCATAAAGAAGTTTTTTCCAATAAATTACGAAAAAGATTAGTTCCCACACGCAGAGTCCTTCTCTGATGTAATGACACCCGCATCTATATATAATATTTTTAGTAAAGTATTTGAAAATACAAGATAATTTTCTTAATGCTTTATTTCTTTTCTATTTATTTGCTTCTTCCAAAAAAACAATCTTCAGATATAATTTCGTCATACTCTTCCTGTACACACACGTACATAACTAAAATTATATTTATAGTAAATGTATTTTAATAGAAAACATATCAAGAAACATGTTTGCTATAAAAATGGATGTTGAATCACTGATACTATTAACATCTATTCTGTATGATACATTGACAACGAGGAATATTATCCCATCATCGTATTGTATTCTTGATATCTTTGCCAAAACATTAACCGTAATGTCGATTACATGATATTGTTCGATTTCTTTGGAAAATGCAATTACGACAAATAAGAAAGATCAACAGAAAAAAAAATACATTAACAACAAGCGAGTTGCCATCAGTTTTTCTTCTTGCGTTCGTGTCTGTACCGGGCAGTGAAAATGTGCAGATAGAATGTGTAAACAAACAACTGTTGAAGAAAAGTTAAATTGCATGTTTCTTTCTTTCAATGTGATTACATCTTATATAAAGAACTTTTTGTTTATTATATTATATTTATTAATTTAAAATCATCTAATATCACTAGAATCTATGTCCGAAGTATGATTAAAAGCATCTGAGTGATATATAAATGAGAATGACTGTTTCAAAAACATTCGTTTCGAAAAAAAACAAACACGAAACAATATGAAATATTTTCTATCATCGATAAATTTGACTTCTGGCATTCGGCTGAGTCAAAATACTAAAATAAAACGTATCGTACTGTCGTAAAATTTAGCTCAAAAAACATGTTGAAAAATAAATCAATGATCGAGATTGGATCACTTTGATGCGGCTGAATCTTATCCAAAAAAAATAGTAATTCGATTTCCTACAACAACAAAAAATATTTAACATGTCAAAGTGCAAAAATATGGTATGTTTTTTATTAGTGTGAATGTATACTCTTTGTGATTATATCGTATGAAAAAAAACTGTTAATTCATTTTTGGACAAAGAAAGTCTTTCGGATACATATTGATATGTACCAATAAAATTTACTTTTTCTGATTTGAATGTAGATATTCTCTTCATCCACACCATACCCTATTGTCCAGATTTAATGGTATGCGACATGAATCATATCCTTATGTAAAGAAGAGCAAAAAATAATTGTTTCTCATATATATTCACATTCTATTCAGCAGAGAACTAAAACAGCTTAATTTTTCATATAGATCAGTTGAATATATAAGCAAATAAATCAAGTATTTTCCATGAAAACGTTCTATAACTTAATCTTTCTGAGGACATCAAACATAGCTAAATCTCGTTGTATACAGTACAAAATGCATTAGAAGGTTTTATACTATTAACCAAAGGTTGCTGATATCGACAAAATATGTAATATAAAATAGAATTGTATAAGAAAGTACAGACAATTTCGCTGATAACAAGTTCTTTCTTTTTGTAAACTTTGTCGTTTTTCAAACTTAAATATTTTATTTATAAAATCTTAATCAAAGTAGATTACGAATTATCCTAACAATAAGTCGATCTAACTCAGAATTTAGCGAATTTTATCGTAATGATAAAGTGAAGAAGACTTAAAATAATAACCATCTACATTAGTCGTACTAAAAATTAATTCATATTCTTTTTTTTTATTTTATTTGACATTATTTATTAGTTTTGTTAATCCCCAGTAAGATTTTGTATCAAAGAAAGAATTTAAAACACAAAGCACTCAGTTGCTAAGAAAAAACAATAATAAAAAAACCAAAAAACAAACATTCATCAACTATTATCCAATATGAAGAAAGAAAAAAAAAACTTTTATTTTTTCTTTTCTTTATAATTTTTCTGATGAATGATGACCATGAATAGTTTTTATTCTTGTATGATCACCATAAGAATTTTTCATATGTTGTTTAAGCATTTTTCACTTTGATATTTAGAAAAAGCTTGTAATAATTCTGGACAATTTTGTTTTGCTGCTATATCAATAACACTTTCATTTTTATCATTTAACCAAGATGCATCACCTCCATGTCTTTTATCAAAAAAAAATTTAAATTTTATTATTTTCTTATTTAATTTCTAATTAAAAAATATAAACTTACTTGAGAAGAATTCTTAATGGTTCAGCACCATCAAGTCCTAATAAACAACATTCATGTAATGCTGTATTACCTCGTCTACAAAACAAAACAAAATCAATATTTCTTAACATTTCGAATATCAATATTTATCTGAACAAAAAAAAAAAGAAAAAATACACAATCAATCTTTGATTTCAATTGATATTAAAATCTCGATATATATAGAACTTACGGTCCTTTTTTATCTAATTTAGCTTTTCCATCTATAATAAGTGTTTCTAAACATTCATAATATCCATTACGTATAGCCAATTGTAGAATCGTATAACCTTCTTTATTTTTAATATTAACATCAGCTTTTTCTTTTATTAAACGTTGAACTTCTTTTAATATATCGATTTGATGTGATGATTTTTTATTATAATTATTATTTTTTTTCAAATAATCGAATTAATGCATGAGTTGACTATTAATTATAATAGATAATTCAATAAGACAACAAAAAAAATTATAATAAAATATTTTATTCTTACACTCAATATTTTCTGTAATTTCTCTTGGATATTCATCTATGTAAAAAAAAAAGTTTTTTTTCTTTTGCAAAGAATACTTTTGCCTACTATCAGAATAAATTGTATTTGAATATGGTGAACTTCGTTCATTATCTATTGGATAATATTCATTTGTTTCATTAATAAAAAATGGTGATTGTGAAAGATTTTCTGGTTTACGAAATACTGTTTGTATAGTTACTTGATATTCATTTTCATGTACAGTTGCATGAATCATATTACCCATACGTGGTTCACCTAAAAAAAATAATTAAATAATATATAAACTTTTTTAATATTAATATATAAGATATATGTATAGAGAGAGAGAATTTATATTTTAAATAATAATTATTATTCATTATAACAAAATAAAAGTATTTGTTTTTTTTAAATATTAAAGATCTTTACCAATCAATGATTGAAGATCTGGTCGATTAGCTGCATAAGTTTATAAATGAGCACAAATATGATCTAATTGTTGTCGCCAATATCCTTTTCCTGGACTTGTAGATGGTAATATTGGACGATATTCTTTTAATTCTTTTTCATTTAATAATTTTTTATTTTGTGTTATAATTAAATCAATATCTTTTGCACTTGGATAATAAATTCCATATGTTTGTGTTGCAACTTCTTTTTGAATTGTTGAATATGATTGATGATAATTAGTTAATGTTGTATTTGCATTAAGCCATACAGGATTAACTGAATTACGTGTTAATGTCTATAGAAAATAAGAATCGTTTTATTTTTTTATTTTTTATTCTTTAATTTTAATATACACTAGCAATCATTGATGACGATGAAATATTCAAATCATTTTAAAGACGTGTATCAATAATACGTAATGGTGGTTCAATAACACATCCACATGTTGAACAAAATTTTGCAAATGAATCATTATTAGTATGACATTTTGTACATTGTATTGATGTAGATGCATGATCAGGATATGCACTACACCAATCACAAAAACGAGCATTAGGATTATTTAAACGAAAACATTTTGAACATGTTATCATCATTGTATTAGTTTGTTTTGATATTGTTGGAATTGAAATTGAAGTTCGTTTTTCCTATTGAAATATAAATATGAAAAAAATAAATAAATAAGATTTTTTTTTTTTGTTTACTGGTGGTGTTAGAGGTGTAAGCCGATAGGCTAATAGGCGGCGGCGCCAGTTTTTTAAAACTTTTAAAAAATGCTCGGCGGCACAGATTTGATATTCCAAGGTTGCACAGCGGCGGCGGCTCGAAAATTGTAAAATTTCGAATACCATCGGCGGCGCGGCGGCTGTAATTAAAGTGTCTCAGCGGCGGCGGCTTGAAGTTTAAAAAGTACTACATTATCATAAAGAAATTAGTCTATGACCTTGTCTACACGAGGAGGATAATGCAATATTCAATTCGTATTAAATCAATTCGTGTCTACATTTGTCAGTTAATGCATCAATCAGAATCCTAGACTTTGAAATGACTCGTAGTTTTTGTTCACTTCAATCATAGAGGAATCGCTCATTGAAAACTGCGTCAGCCTCATTGGAAAATCCAATCAGACTTTGATTGGTGCATCAACTTTAATGCGGTTCTGAATAGTGCAATAAATTTAATGCACTTTTTAAGTGTTTTAAATGTTTATTAACTGTTTAACCAATCATGTCTCTTAATTTACCATCAAAATTTTTAGTGTAGACAAGGCCTATTTCAATATCTCGGCCTTTTTATCTTCAAACACATATGTGGAAAAACTTTAATTCACATCTAGACATAATAAAAAAAAAGTCTAAAATTAAAAAATAAATATAATTGCTAGGGTAAATAATAAATGAAAAATCACCACCACGATTGTTAATAAGTAAAGGCATTTAGCGTATTCAAGTTTGTTGTTTTTATTTTGTTTTTTTGTTAATCAAAATTTAAAATGCTCGTCTCTTCTTGTATTTATTAATATACCTAATATAAAGACATAAAGAACTGAAATGATAACTTAGAATTTTCAACCAACACAGAATTAAGGGTTTGTTTACAGTTTAGAACCCCAAGCACCTGACTGGTCAAAGAACCAGCACGAAAGTGAAGTTGAAGGCGAGGAAGATAATGAAGAAGAGATATATTGGGATTCTAAGATGTCAAAGTACCGAATTAAAGAAAATATAAATAAAACGTTTATTTGTGCTAGTTGCCAGCGGCGGCGGCGGCTCGAAAATTTTAAAATTTTGAATACCATCGGCGGTGCGGCGGCTGCAATTAAAGTGTCTCAGCGGCGGCGGCTTAAAAATTTCTAAAATTTCTACTGTCACGGCGGCGGCGGCTTAAAATTTTTCGAGTCTGTCGGCGGCGACGGCGGCTCAGCCGCACGGCTTACACCTCTAGGTGGTGTTGATGTTGGCATTAATACATTTTCACAAATATAACATGTTCGTAAATGTATTGGATTTGTTGATTTACAATGAGGACATAGAATTCTTGTCTAGAGAGGAACATTAAAATTTGATTAATTTTTTTGAAATGTTTGTTCTTTTTTTTTGAAACCTGATTTTGAGAAGTTGGTCGCTGTTGTGGTTCTTTGGATATTGGTGTTTCACATACAACACATGTGTTAGAATTAAATGGAATAGCAGATTTACAATTTGTACATATATTAGTCTAATTAAAGAAAAATTATCCGTGTAAAATAAGATAACTACTATTCATTTGTAAAGTAATTAATACTGTTATGTAGAACAATACATGATCCGTCAAAGGATATACTCTTTATCAAATTTTACAGTTCTGAAAAGTCATATACCCTCCCCCCCCCCCAATATAGACGGCCACCCTATATTAGAAGGCCATGTACTAATTAATTAATATATTTCAAAATTATCGAAATTTTTATATATATTAATTAATAATTAAGGAAATATAACCGGTTTTCTAATGTTTTTTTGCGAAATCCTTCCTTTCCTATCATAATTAGTACACTTTTTACAAAAAGTGGTAGTTTTTTCAGCAAAAAACAATAATTAAAGTTATTAATTAATTATTCATTTTTTAAATGTTTTTAATTAAAAACTGACCAAAAATTGACCCCCAATAGAAGGCCATCCAAAAAATAGCGATGTGCCAAGACACTGTATAAGGGCATGCACTTTTATTCTGGGGGGAGGGTTACTGGTTAACAGGTATTATAGCAATGCTGACTGTTGTAAGATATGACTGTCGAGGACAAAGGCAACCAACTATGCAACTTTTTCCGTGTTCTATAAGTGTGATTCCTGAGAATAGAAAAATATATGACTTTTCTTTTTGTTTTTAGGCTTCAGAACATCGAATGTGATTCGGATATGTAGTTCTATCACATTCAACATATGTTCGGGTTTCTTATAAGAATTAATAGCTTTATCAAGATTCTGAAAGAGAAAAACGTTTTTTTACTATTTTCGAAAGACCCATATATATATGTCAGATATAGGTTATTTTTGAGATCATACTACTCATCATTGCTCTTGTATATCTTAACTGGTATAATGACTTTTATGAAAAAATAATTTCGTAAATAACTATGAGTTGTTCAACAGAATGGGATTAGGTAGTTTCTTTTTTTCAAATGAAGGGTAGTCATCATATCTGATAGAGTTATTTTGAATTACTGAATAATTATCCGGTGGATTATGAGTTAGTTTTTGCCAAGATAGACCACATTCCGTACAAAATCGTGTATATAAATCATTTGATTTAGGTGCAAAACAATGTGCACATCTAGAAAAGAAAAACAAAAGCTCAAATAATAAAATAATTTTGTTTCGATAAACCTTAAAACATTTGTTTGTATTTGAGAATTTGAATATGTATAATTAGTTGAATTTTCTTGTACTAATGAATCAATTGTTGAACGACGCATTGATTCTATATAAAAATTTGATTAATAATAAATAAAATTACTTTTTTTTTTGATACCAGATATATATTTAACTGAATTAAATATGTAGAAAAAAGTTCGATTGCTTTACTAATTGTATGTTTACAAATTGTTTTTTAGATATATTCTTATCGGCGAAATGAAAAATATTTCGCAATAAATTATTTTCGTTAACATCTATCTCTATGTAAAGTTTCAAGTCGAAATTTAAAAACTAAAATTGAAGATGTGTCAATGACTTTGATAAGTTTTGAACTTCATAGAAAAAAAAACATTTTAATGAAGAAATATCGATAGACAAGCATTAAAGTACTACTATTATATTAGTGATCTTCTAATTGAACTCTTGAGATATGAGAAATTCTTGAATATCAATTTTTTTTAAATAAAATTAAAGGTAAATATTTTTGCAAACTAAAATATATTTATATTGAAAAATTTAATATTTAATTAAACTTTAACATCTTGATTAATCATCTATAATGACACATAAACTTGATTATTTTATTTTCGTAATATTTTATGAAAAATTCAATGTATTCAGATATGTTTTCTATAAAATTCGAGTTCATAATTTCTTTTAATGAAAACTCATCTTTTTCTAAAATATGCTTTTTCAAATTACTTAAATAAATACTAAAAATAATATATCTTTCACTTGATTCAAATTCATTGTACATTTCATATAAAAATAGGTATGATTTCATAATAAAAAAAAAAGTATTCTATACAGTTTTTCAATAAACATGAGATAAGTAAATTTCTATTGAATTTATTTATTATCTATCATTTTGAAATTTTTTACCTTTCGTTCTTGTTGTAATTCATATAAATATCGATTTTCATATTCATCCGATAATGAATGATCTGATGGAATAATTTTAACATCAAATATTTTTGTTACTATAACACTTTCTCGAATTCCATCACTAAATAAATTTTAATAAAAAAAATAAAAATTCTTCAAACTGATTTTTTTGTTTTCCCAAATATCTTTACCGTGATGCCTGTATTAGCTATATCTCTTGGTATATAAAATGGTTTTTTATATTGTATAGTCGAACGTCGTGTTGCTAATGTTATAAATGCATCTGGCTTTGAACCATCTAATGTATAATAAATATCAACATCATTTGTATCACTACGTATTTCAATCAATGTATTTGTATCAATGGAAAATTTTTGTGTATATCCAACACGTAATGGAATTATTGACGGAGCAGATATTGAACCAGCAGTCGTTTTGTTTAACAATTCAAAAAATAATTAAATTGACATCATGAAACCATATCAAACTTTTTTACATCAAACGGTTGTCTATCATTTTGAAATTTTTCATTACGAAGTTGTACTTCACGTCTTTCACGTTCTGCTTGTTCTCTATAATAATAATAATCAAAATTTCTTTAATCTTGTTCTTTTTTTGGGGAGGATTCTAAATAAAGACTTACAAACGAACTTTAATTATATTTAATTTATCTTGATATTTTGATGTTACCTTAAGAACATCTTGTGAAAGATATTCAGATTGAGCATTAATTTCGGACTAGAAAAAAAAGCAAATGACAATAAAAAATTATTTTAATCTATATATAAATAATTATGTTGGATTCATCGTCTCAGTCTAGAGGAGTATTATATATAAGATAAAAGAAAAAAAAAATAAGTGCAGAAAAATGTGCTTATGGAAATATTTTATCTAAGAAATTTAATAGTGAATAGAAAAACACGAAGAGAAAAAAAAGGAGAAGCAATAATAAATCATATGTATTAATACCAATTTTTTCCGTAGCTGAACTAGTCGAATCATAGAATAATATGTACGCGATATGTAAGAGAATGAAATTATTATTATTATTATTTTTTGTATTTTTTTTCTTTACCTTTTCTTTTTCTAATTGTTCACAACGACGTGATGTTTCTTCAAGTACAATTTGTACATGTTCTAATTGATGTGTAGCTATACGAATACGTTCACATACATCATCATATTTTATTTTTAAAGATTTATAATCATTTTCAAATTCATCTGCACGTCGTCGTTCTTTTTCCAAATCAACATTTAAATTTGGTTCAATCTATATTTATTAATAAATATATTAATTAAAACATACAAAATTTTAAACAAAAAAAACAAAATAATTTGTTCTTGACAGAATATAAATCATGGCTATATATATATATACGATAAAATTTTCTCATTATGACATGAATAATAACATACAATTTCCATAATGTGAGTAACATAAATGATACTATGATAAACAATATTGACTAATTAGATAAAAAAAAACAATTTTACATAACAACAACAGTATTTGATACAACATCTTGTCGATATTTTTTATATTAATAGCTTATGACATCGTGCAATTAATTAATTGTTAGAAAGACGAAAATAGAAACTGAACGCTTTTGAAGAGTTCTAATGGTACTCAAATTTGAGACATTTTGCTTTAGGAATGTTTTCATTTTTTGTTTATTAAATAATATTAAGTCGGTATTCATTGTAATGAATTGTGAGAATGATTTCACGTATGTCGGCGGCATTCAATATGATGGCGTCTTGCGCCATCGGCACTTTCAGGAGTTTTTTTTTCTTTTATTACAATATGGGAACCACTTATGATAAGAACTTTTTAGCAATAACATTTCCGATCAAAATGATTACCTTGACTTTTTTTTTTTACTTTAAATTTGATAAAAGAAATCTGTAAATGTAATCTTTGTGCGATTACATGATATAATTAGTGTTGCTAATAGAGATCTGCAAACTGGTCCCGTAATGTTTTCTGTTCCAGAACTAGACTACCTATTTCCATATTTATTATTCTGTTCTGACTAATGATCTACAAATAGGCCTTTTTTATTTATTTATGCCCAGGTCGAGAAGTACGAGTGGGTTCCGGCAGAAAAACACTGGAAGTTATTGGAACAGGGTGGCAGTATTCCGGCTGGACACTTCGGATTTTTTCAGTGACTTCCGATCAAATTCCTTCCGTTTTCTTCAGGAAGTTGTCAGGAAAAAATCCAAAACTTTTCCGGCCGGAATACTGCCACCCTGTTTCGGCGACTTTCAGTGTTTTCGTGCTGGATACGGTGAATTTTCCCGCATCTTTCCTACAGGATCCGGTGACCGGAATCTTCGACCTAGGATTGTTAATTTCTCAAAATCATCAATATTCATTTTATATATATTCAAAAAATCATACAGATTATAAGAAAAGTCGTTTTTTTTCTAGAAACAATAAAAAGTTTTAAATTGAAACCAGGACCAAAAAAAGAAAAGATGATCCCACCGATACCTAGTTGTTAATCATCGATTGATTATTTTATTCGATCTATTTTAGGATATATTTTTACTTAGTTTCTATACAAATATAATAAGATATTTAAGTATTAAGAAAATTAATAATATTCATAAGTTAATATTTACTTTTTCTTTTTCCTGTAATTGTTTTTGTGCATTATTTAATTCATATTTAAGTGTATTTGTATGTTCAATTAATTCATTATAACGTTCACGTAAACGTAGTAATTCAAATTCAAGTTCAATATTTTTATTCTAATATAAAATATATTTATATAAAGAAATTTATTCATCATACATCAATATTTGATTCTTCATGTTGAGTTCTAATTCTATACGAAAAAAAAATCATAGGAAAAATAAAATTCGAATATTTTTTGTTTGTGTCTATACTTTAATATTTGATTTTCATTTGTTAATTTCATAAGATTTTGTTTATTAATATCATCTAATCGTTGACTACATGTTAGAATATGTTTATGTAATACATCATATTTTAATTTAAGATTTTCCATATGAAATTTAATTCCTTCATCTGAATTATCAAACTAAAAAATTATGAATATTTTAAATATCAATCCAAAAAAAAAGAATGCAATTATACTGTTTATTCAAATTGAATAGTTTTTTTCTCTGTAATTTCAAGTTCTTGACGAACAAGATCAATTTCACGTTCAAGTGAACGTTGTTGAATAATAGAAAATAATTTTGTTTGTTCAATATCTGATATATTTTGTGATTTTTCCATCTAATATATTTAAATTAAATTTTACTTTTTTGTTTTTGAATTTTTTATAATACATACTAAATATTTTAAAAGATCATTTTCTTCTTGTTGTGAAATAAATTTTAATTTAAATTCAAGTAATTTCATTTCTGTTTGTTGCATAGTTTCAAATACTAATTGATGTATAGATAAAGATGATGATGTTGATGTTGTCGTTATTGTTTTTTGTTGATCCAATTTTTGATTAATATATGTTACAATATAATCAAGTTTAGAGCGAAATGTTTCAATTTCATGTTGTAATTCAATATTTTGTTCCATAAATTTTTTTTGATAATTCTTCAGCTTCTAATAAAATATAGAATTGAATTAATTAATTATTTCTATTCTCTATGAAAAGTTTCAAAATCCAAAAAAGAAAAAAATTAGTCTTTCTCATATTTAAGAAATGATAAATTAATATTATTATATTTGTTAGAATATATCTGAGAATAAAAGTGAATGTTTTATCTCAAAAGTAACGGGTGGGGCAAAAGTTTTGGATTAATTTTATTTTTGATATAACTCTGGAACACAATGTCGGAGGGACTTCATCTTTTTTTTTGTTAGAAAGAGCAAAGTGTCTACTACAAAAATATATAAAAGAATTTGATTGGAAATGTTTTTCGAAGGCCACAATAATCTTAGAACACAAGGCTTGGAAAAATTCTTCCGCAACTTTGGTCAAATTTTTTTTATTCAAAAATATTTGTTTGAACTTTTTCATTACCCACTTTCGACGCTTTTGAGCACCATATATATACAGTTGTTCAGTACAACGAAGGCTTTCATTTGGTATTAAAATAATTGGTATAACATACAAGAGAATGAACAAAAGACAATTTGATTAAAAAAAAACTAATTGTTCGAATTTGGTTTTGCATCGGGAAAACAAGTTCTTGTCTGAATATCTCACAGAGAAGTTGTGTCCAATTCCAAATAATATCGTTTGGTAGAGAACTCAATAAGCTTTCTTTTTCATATAAAATATATAGCTTCTGGCAACCTCTCTTGCGAAATAGAGTTTATTTTTTCGACTGCTATCAACAGTGATGAAAAATCGATGACACAGACGGTATCATAAAAGCCTTCATTTCTACTGTTTTAAAACATGTAGAAAATTTCTTTTTTTTGTAAAGCAATAGTGCTCTATCCTTACATTATAAAATCTGCATTAGACGAATAAAAAGAGAATCTGTGTAATTATAGGAAATTTTTTCTCAGTTGAAAAAAGTTGCGAAAGGGTTTTCTGACGCCTTCTGTTCTAAGATTGTTGTGGCCTTAGAAAAACATTTCCAATCAAATTCTTTTATATATTTTTGTAGTAGACACTTTGCTCTTTCTAACAAAAAAAAATGAAGTCACTCCGATATTGTGTTCCAGAGTTATATCAAAAACAAAATTAATGCAAAACTTTTGCCCCACCCGTTATTTTCCATTCTATTTGTATTTTTTTTTAAATTTATTCTTAATTCTTCATGATATTCATTTATAATCTATTATGTAAGAATAATAATAATAATAATAATTTTCTATTTCTTAATAAATAAATTTTTATACTTCTTGTGATGATGAATGTTGATTGGTAATAAGTTTTTCTTCGATCCAGTTATTCTATCTGTTTGTTTTATTAATTTAATATTATGATCATGATTATTCAAAACCTCAAAGAAAATAAATATAAACCAACCTTGACAATCACGAACATCTTACTTCATTCATTTTTCCTTTTTTTTTCTCTCTTTCTCTCGTCTTTTCTCTTGATAAATAAATCAAAACAACAAAAGAAATGATGTATGTATATGCAAACAAAAATTGAAACATACAGACAAGAAAAAAAGAAAGAATTTGAAAGAAATAAAAATTTATATACTTTTTGTTGTTGTTATTCGTTTGAATAATTTTTAATATATTGAAACTAAAATGAAGCAAATTATTGTATAATTAATGTTCAAAAAACACTTTAGATCAATTCTCTATATTGACTTCCTTCATACTAAAACATCAATGAGAGAATTGTCAGTCGATACAAAACACTCCTTTTTTTTTTATTGTATAGTCTTATATTTTCTCCTTCAGACTAATAATTTAGAAAAAGAAATCAACAAGATGCAACGATATTATTATTTGTCCATTTAGAGACATACTCTATAAAGAAGAAGAAAAATGACAATATATATATATATTGAAATGAAAGGTTGCTGTTCGATATATCGACATGAAGTAGATGATAAGAAAAAACAACAATATAACATAAGAATAAAAATAATTTGCAGACACTTAGAAATGAATTCGTTTAAGGCCCTCCCCCCCCTCAAAAACCTATCTCATCGCATTTACGTTCAAATGGGCTGAAATTTGGAGCATATGTTGCGACTGAAGTGAGGAGGCTATGGTAAAATTTTCAGCTCGATTTGCTGACGTTTGACGGAGATATGAACCAAACCAGGGTCAAAAAATAGGTCATCTTAGCGCCAAAAAGTCTCCATGGCCCTTCATTACATATACAATTTTTTTTTTGTTTGAAAGCTTGTCTCTAGGGCTAGCCGGGTATGGGTGTGGATGTGGCTGGGTGTGGGTGTGGGTGGGTGTGGGTGTGGGTGTAGGGTGTGTGGGTGTGGGTGTGGATGTGGATGTGGGCATACTCTCCTTAAACACCCACATCCACACCCACACCCACACCCCACACCCCACACCCACACCCACACCCACACACCCACACCCCACCCCACCCCACACCCACACCCCACCCACACCCTATTTATGATGTAATTTATTTGTTTTTAATATTGAAATAAATTACCGTATTTCTTTAGAAAAATTTCAAATTATCAATAGAATTCAGTACCAATTTCAATAAACACAAGAAAATTTACATATACCATTTGTTGTAACAATCTTCAATCCAAAACAATTTTTTATCTCAGAAAAAAATAAAAAAGCCCTGTCTTAGATGTACCTTTACCACAAAGTTTTCCCAAATCCAGTCTGTACATATCCAATCCAATACTTCTTCTTGCTTAATTTCTTTTAATTTCGCTTGTTAAGTTTTTATAGTAATTTTTGAAAATTATGATTGCACCATGAACAGAACGATTTGATATGTTTCGAAGATCTAATAACACTAATGACAACTAAGGGTCGAAAAAATTAATCTATAATTTATTTTCACTTATATAAAAATAAATAATTATTAATTTTCACAAATACTAACGCAACAAAATTTGGCATAATGCTTTTCATCCGAAAGGTAACACAACAAACACATGCACCAAACAATATTTCAAGACGAAATAGATATTATGAAGCTGATCCTTCACACAGCTAAAAAATTTGTTTATTAATTTTGCGGGAGTAGCTGTGAATGTCGGTGAGCATGTGAATACGGCTATGGATGTAGTAAATCTCTTGGTTGATACTCAAAACCCACCTTACATATATAACTACACATAGCAACCCTTCTATGCTGATATATCCGCTTTTGACGAGTTTCTCGGTGTAGTTTGAGTTCTCCCGAATCCGATAGGACTGTTCTATAGAGATCAACAAGTTTTGCTTGGACAAAAAAGTGGATCATCTGGAATATCTTTCGGAAAGACTCCTCACAAGTTTTATTCTCCAGAACAAAAGATTCCCTCTCCTGACACACCAACGTTTTCCCATTTTTTCAGACGCATTCTGCCATAGAGAGTATCGAAACACATCATTCGATAAAACTCTTCGAGTTGTATTTGGAACCCCAATGGAACACGCTCATTGACGAATCTCGGCACGTTTCAACATAGAGAACACCAACTTCTTGTATTGATCCAGCAATATTTTTAAATTTCCTGCGACATGGTTCTAGCTATGGAGAATCTGAATATATCATTCGATAGAGCTCATCGAGTTGTACTTGGAACACACCTTGGGACAGTTGGAACATGTTCCTGGGCGAATCTTGGTGGGATTTACTCGAATCTGATGCTAACTTCACCTACGTTAATATATGGCTGCATTGTGAATGCATACATGATAACATTTTTTTAACCGAACAGATGATAAAGTAGAATACTCTCCTTTGTAAAAAAAGCGTAGAAGTTGAATATAGTTCAAGATGAATATCAGACGGATTTGTATTAATTACAAAATCTCGATCATATTTCGATAAAACATTGGACACAGTCGATACAAATTCATCTGTAGAATTTTGAATTTCTTCTTGGCCTTTATTTATCTATTTGTTATTATCTAAGGCAGAATACAGCTTTTCCTTGTTGAGTATAACAAAAGAGCAATCTTTAATCTCGTTTTTTCATACTTCACTCGAAGTTTTCCTATTTATGCTTGATAATTAAAAATATTTTAGCAACAATTTTTGTATGCAGAAGACAATTAGAAGAACATTGATTCGTCAAGATAAAAATCAGTGCTATATAAAAATCATGAAACAAGTTAAGAAAACTTGTGCTACAGCCAGCAGATCGAATTTCAGAAGAAACAGAAACGATGGTTTTCGTTACTACACTTTTCATCCTGTGCGTTGCGTTTTTTTTTAAAGATAGAAATTAAACTTTTCTAATCATCAAAAAATTTTTGTAGCCTTTTCTCAGAAAAAATGATTACTTTTTGGAAATAGAGAATAGAAGTCACTCACTTTAATAAGTTTTCTTGAACATATATAATGTTGTCATTTGAAATTAAGTAACTATTTTTTTAAAGCTCTAAAGTCATGCAATAATCCTTGTTAAGCCTTTTTTTAAAGCCCAGCGAAATAAATCTATGTAATAGACTGAAACGAATGATTATCGAGCTTGTTTAAATTCATGCTAAACGTAACGATTTATATTTTCCAATTTTTGTTTTTCTGTTCTCTCCTTCTCTCCTCTTTTCAATATAAGAACAGAAGCAAGAAAGATATACGGAATTTATGACATGTCGAAATCTACGTTTTACACTCATCCATGATCGATACCGCTTGCTCGTTACAGTATTCTTTTCATCATAGTAGTCAATGACCTATTTCCTATAATCCAGAGAGAACTTTTGTAGAAGAATATCATCTTCGTCGTTGCCTGTATCGTTAAAGTTCGAATCTATTTCAGAATCGTCAGATTCAACATATTCATTAACATCATCTTCCGTTATGTTATTTGATATATAATCAAGTGAAGTTTCACTTTCCACAGAAAATGCATGCCAATTGATAATTGAATATAACATTTCAGCCAAATGATTGATAATTCTTTGTTTACGTATTGTAAGAGCTGAAAAATTAGTGATTGCAAATGCAACAGGTTGAG